GGACACAAAATATTTCTCTATCATCTCTGCTAAGAACATTCCTGTTGAGAAAAAAGTGAATATTTAAAAAAGAATTTAAAATTTATTAATTCATTACCTACAAAAATAATTTATTGCTGTCTCCAAAACCATCAGTATAGGAAGTCTTTGTTATAGCAAAATATCATACAAGTTATTACATGTTATTGAAAGCCATTTTCCAGGTGAAAGCACGTTCCTTATGTTGAAATGCCATCTAGAAGAAAGGTAATAAGTAAAAGAAACAAAATTGCTGTAGCTAGTGTCTGTCTAAGCTTTCAGTTATTCTTAAAGCAGGCTGGAACGATAAGTCTGTCTTAGTTAAAATTAGTTCTTGAAGTTGAGCCTATTACCACTGTCTTTTACAAAGGACTATATTGGCCTCATTTCTTCAAATAAGTGATTTTTTTAAAATTTTTTTTTTAACCTACACTTCATCAGCACAGACTCCCTCAGATGTTTCTTTCTTTAATAATTAAGTTTTGTCACACAACTCATTTGCACCTTGGAGAGTCATTTAGCTGACAGAAATCTAAATATGCACCAAGACCTTAGTTAGGAAAAACAATTTAAAATCTCCTCTCCTTCACATACTTAGCATTTTTAGTACTTAAATCAAATTTATGGTTAGTTCACATATGCCACTAAACATTCCTCTTTATATTTATGCATGTTAATCTGATGTGCCAAATAGTTCCTTTGTGTATTTTGATGTGGAAGATGACAGCTAATCTAATAGAGGAGATAAAAGTCTTATATGCAACATTTCATATATTGTGTGCTATAAAGTATGAAGCTCTGAATCAACATGGAAGTAATATAGGAAACAGAAAATTTCACATTCAGTATCATAACATTCTTGAAACAGATGTTCCCTTTTCCTTCCACTGGTTGCTCTTACCTACTATGGAGAGAATCACAACCACAAAATCAAAAATATTCCAGCCTATAGTGAAGTAGTAATGACGAAGTGAAATCAATTTCAGGACGCATTCTCCAGTGAAAAGGATAATGAACACCAGGTTAATCCGGGATAAAATTGTTTCCATTTCTTTACTCTGGTCATCTGTTTCTACCATCATTGTGACCATGTTAAGGCAGATGAGTATCATGATGCTGATGTCAAAGACTTGTTTGGTTACAAAATCAAAGACCATGCCTTGGAATTTGTTCTGCAAAACCAAAGATGGAATATAGTTTATACTCTCAAACTATTGTCATTACAAGTGCCAAAGGGGAAACCAAATCTATGCAATATTTAGAAGTGCAGGGCAAGACCCATTCACAATACATCTGTTAACATACACCAAACGCATGCTGGTTTGTGTCTCCTCCTGTTAGAGCAGATCAAGAAGTGTACCACTGTTGGCTGAAGGGATGGGAAGGGGAACAGTGCAATAACAGTAGTAATAACATTGTCAATTGATATTTTTGGTGTGAAAAAGGTGATATAACTTGATACCCATCAAAAGTACCAGACAAACAGAAACTCATTTTCTTATATGGTTTTAGAAAACTCCCCCCACAAGAGATGTCTTTCTCCTCCTTTAAACTAATTGCGGTTGTTGAGATTCTTGGATGCTGAAGTTACATCTTAAACACGCCATGACTACAATGTCCTAATTTTTTGTTAGTACTTAGCCAAATGTTTATTGCCATATGTCTCTCCTTAGAAAGACTATTTTTAACCACTCAGTGCATAAGGTGCAACAAGTATTTTATTTTTTCCAAACACCGTAGGAGTTCAGTAAATCAGAGTGACTTCTTATCTTAGAGATTAATTTAACCTAGTTTATACTTTACTCCCTATGACATTCTTTTATTCTTTAAGATGATCTGCATCTATCTTTCTTTTTCGCATTAGGTGACCACAGCCCCTTCTGTTTTCAGTTACAAGGGCCAGTGTGTTCCCATTTTCCACAAACTGTCTGGGAGTAGGAAAACACAGAAAATTAAGTGTAGCCAATATGCACAGCTTTGTAAGGGAAGGCCTGGCAAAATCACGGCTCCGGCCTGTCACTTAGGCTGAGCAGAGCAGGGCTCTGGGGGAGTGACTCAGCTGGGATAGAGGGGGCGAGGCATGCTGGGTGTTTGCACCGTGGTGCTTGCTGCTTGGTTAAAATGGGTTTGTTGTGCCTGAAAAGTTTGTAAACTAATGGTCGACTAATGGCATAAAAAGGCTGGGTTTTTTGTAAATAAAGTTCCTCCTTTGCACCTGCCTGGGGACTCCGTGCCGCTCTGTGCGCCCGTACCGACACAATTAAGTTTATCCATAGAACCAATAAATGATCCAGTCAGCTGTACTTTTCTAGGACTTAGTAGGGGAATTATACGATTTATCACATTAACCTTATTAAATCCTGCATTTCATACTTCAGAGCGTGTATTTTTAAATGAAACATGAATAATCTATTCTACTGAATTAAAAAAAAAAGGGGGACAAATTCTACCTTTACAAGAAAATAAATGGAAAAACTCTTTTCTTTCCAGACATATAAACTTCCCTCATTGACTAAAATAAAATTCCCAAATGAGTATTACTAGAGTCATTATAAACAAATCACTCTTACCACTGGCCTTGGTATAGGTTTCTGTGGCTTTTTGGATCCTAGTTTTTTCATTGCATTGTAATATTTCTTCTGTTCTTCTGTCATAAATATATCTTGACCCCCAAAGTAAAGAAATAATACAAAAACTAATTACTATCATGTCCACACATACAACATTTAACTACAGTATGTCTCTCTGTAATATAATACTACATTTATATTTGATTTTTACAACAAAAGGAGTGGCCTTTTTTTTTGTATTTATAATGTGGATGCTTATACACATTCCTAACACACAAAAAAGCCCTTACTGGTGCCATGTCAGACTGATAGTTAAGTTTTTCCAGTGTCTTCATGCTCACTTTGACTGACATGACTAAAACGGTTCTTACTGCACTGATGCTGTTAAATGACTTGCAAACTGGGATATGTTTAGTGCACAGGCGCCTGACTGGTACTATACAATTCCTAAATTCTAGATAGACTTTTAGGATTACAGACAGATCTACAGGGGGGTAACTTTGAGACACAAATTTTATGGAAGGAGAGTATTTGAGTGTAATCTGAAGGTTTTAATGACAGCAAAAAACATCACTGTTGCTATAAATTTAAGAGGAGCAATCCAAATCATGCCATAGGAAATTATTAATTAAGACACTACTGGAACCTTAACAGACTTAAATTAACCTTCATTTGCAGATGCAAATGCTGCCAGTCAGGTGTGCAAATGACTTGCTGAGTTATATTTAAAAAAGAGACATTTTTATTCAAAAACTTGAAATATCTTTTGATTTTTATAAGTTCTATGTAAATAAATTATTAAATCATTACAGGTAATGATTTATAGCTCTATGGTAATATTTTAAATACTTATCTTCTTTTTTTGCTGGTTGAAGTTGTCTATAATGACACCAATGAACAGGTTCAAGGTAAAGAATGATCCAAATATGATAAAGATGACAAAATAGAGGTACATATATAAGTTGTCCTCATACTTAGGTTGGTCTTCTACCTACAAATAGTGTAAATTTTATTACTCATAAGAAAACTAGATGTAAGAAACAAGGTGTATGATTTAGGAATAGGTATATACTATCTCAGAAAAGCTGTAAACTGCACTCAGCTATTAAAAAGACCCAACACGTCCATTCCAATCAATATTCAGAGAACTGGAACCTTGCAAAGTGTTATTCATATGGAATTTTAAAGTAAATGTGCACAGAGGTGTATTTATGTATGTACATATAGACAAAGTTCCTCATACAAAACAGAGAAGCAATGTGGGACTGAGAGCAGTCATTACTACTTAAAATTTTAACATCTCAAATGTAAATATTTTATATTATGCTCAGAATATTTTCTTGCAACAGAATCAGTAAATTTTACTATTGCCTAAATCTCCCTGGAACTCTTTTGGTCTTACATGAGTGTTCTTACATCGATCTAAGAACAGACGCTTTCAATAAATTTCTAGTGAGTATATATTTTGTGAAATCCATTAAATTGAGAAAAATTTGTGTGGAGGGTTTTGTTATTGTCTTGATTCTTTCAGATTCCACACATCAATCCCTGCATCTCTACTGCTCAATCCCTGCATCTCTACTGCTCAATGTGCTAGAGTTTAGAAATGCTGAAGTTAATGAAATTATATACTAGTCTAGGAGACTAATATCACTGTGTGATGATGACTATCACTAATGTGACTATAACCTAGGTTCTATAGAACTAGTTCAGGCATCTGTGTTGCACATTTTTTTTGTACAAGGTAAACAGTTTTAGTTTTGCAGCCAAGATAAAATTCTAATCCCTAGAAAACATAACAGGTGACCTTCAACCTTAAAATCTAATTGCACTTAAATATCTGGTCCACGTAAGTGCTCAGCCCAAAGAAACAATGAAATGCAGTTACAAATTATAAAACAAGATTAATATATCAAATATATAATAATTACATTATGTAATCTTAAATTAATCCATACTCATGATTAGCAAAGTAAACAATGAAAACAACCTGTTTAGTTTTTTTCATTAACTGAGCTTTTAAAAAAAAAAGTCCAGTTAAGTTAATTTAACTTATTTGGCTAAACAAAAGGAAATGGGATTCATACTTCCCACAACAAATTCTAAGATTCATGTAGTTATGTAAAAGTTCCTTTTTAGATTAAATTAATCTGGAATAAGTATGTATTGGTGCTGATTTTGATTCTTATTTTTACTGCATATGTAGCTGTTAAAATTCTATTCTACCAGAACATAACCAACAGTTGATCATTGCAAGTCTTACACTTACATCTCGTGAATCAACAGCAGCATACATAATATCCATCCATCCTTTGAAAGTAGCCTAGAAATAAAATACTATTGTTTATCTTCCCGGATAAAAATTCGTACCGTGGAAAAATAAAAAAAAAAAAACAAACCTAGATCACAGCATTTGGACCTTAACTTTTAATAAAATAATATCTAAATTTCTGACCACATTTAATAACAGGCATAAGAAAATCTTTTTCATAGTGATACTAGTGGGTTATTTTGAAATTATTTTTTAGGTATCAAAAAAATATTAAAAATCAGTCTCTGAAGGTCTCAGCAAGGGCACAGTGTGGTTGGAGCTGCAGATGCTTACTTTGCAGAATCAGAATGGTAGACTTAGAAAGACATTAATGTTTGAGATGTTCAGGTAGAATCTGCTAGAATCACATGTGGTAGCAGATTTTATCACATTTACAGCATGAATTGATGGTGTCAGCGATACAACTTCTGGACAGATACCATCATGCACCTGAATGTTATTGCTACGGCTAAACTCCTATGGTGTTTTTAGAAATGTTTCAATCCCATGTAATTAAAAGGAATGGACTCTGTTCAGAATCAAAATATATGTTAGTTCTTGAGGGATAAGATATGCAGAAGAGCAAAAAGTGAACTGTGAAAGAGATGTGATTAACTTCTATAAAACTTTGGGCTGAGTTCCTATAGAGATTTTGTCTAGGTAGAAACAAGAGTAAAAAAAGGTCTGCCATCATTGCTCTAAGGAAGTGACTTTCATGGACACAGAATGTCCACTTTCTAAGGAACACCAAAGGGTTGGTGTGACATGGTAGTTGAAGGTGTGAGTGCCTGCTCATAAGCCAGGTTTCCCAGGCTAATTCACAATAAAGAAAAAAAAGAGCTAAAAATCCTGCAAAATTAACAGATAAAGAGCACCTCCCCTGAGGAGATTCAGGAGAGGAACCATCCCAAGGATTATTTAGGCAGCTGTGCTCACCAGGAGTAGCTCTGGTACTTTGGAACAGCAGTTAGTTTTCAAAAAAATCTTGAAATCTTGAACACTGGTAGTGTTCATGTCCTCCTGAATCTTGCAGGGCATTACAGATTTACTAAGAAGGTACACTTGGAGCCAGGCTTCATAGATCTTTCTGACTCAGTTGACTATTGACAGCCATTTGATGCACTTTGCATAGCAATATTAGAAGAGGAGCAGAGTTTGATAACAGATACTGATAAATACAGAAGAAGAGTGGAGGGAGAATGTTAACAGAGACAGTCAGCTGAAGAGGTGACATGATACATGTTCAAGGATCCCTTTATCTCTGCAGGAAAAGTTAAGGGTGGAAGGGAGTATTTGAAGAGGAAAATAATGACAAATCAGAATAAAAAGAAATAAGACGAACAAAAGGTCCACAGTAGTGATGTAGTAATTAAAGACCAACACTGTCTGGATGGGTTACGTGGATGACATTCAGACACAGTTTCAAGAGAATAGTTGTCCTTATATATCTTCAGAGGCAAGTATTGGTAATAAGATGGTTCACTTTAATCTCTAGTACAAGTGCAGCAATGAGATCTGGAGTCAAAGAATTAGAGTCATCATTCAGTACTACTATTCAGCACTTCAAAGCCACCATTGTCTTTAGGAGCAAAACATTTTAAGCCAGGTAGTTAATCTGGAAATTAAGATCAGCTAGGGACACTGGCCTGCTCTGGGATAGCAGGCACAAGCATGTTGCTCATAGATAACATGGTGATATCAGAGCAATAGCAATCCCATGACATTTCCAACATCTTTTCATACAGTGAAGCTGTATGACAAGTTACAAACAAGTGATTTTACAGAGCTCAATCATCTAAACATAATTGCTTGCTTGCTTGTGTTTGTGTCAAATACTAGCTACCAGAAGCTCCATTCTTAAGCCAAGGAGCCTTTAAAGAGCTAACGTTTTTATTTCTCAGGCATAAATAAAAAATATCCTCATGACCTAGAATAAAAGACATTCCTGTACCATGATGCATAGGAAAAGGACTTGAAGGGAAAATACAATTTACAAACTTTATGTAGCAGTAATTAATAGAATGAATATGCCATGAAATAAAATAACATCTAATACTTCACAAGGATAATACTATAACTGTTTGACAAGCATTAATAGAATACAGTAGTTATAAATCATGAGTATTTTTTGTGATAAAAGTATTGTACATTTTCCTATTTTACCCACAGTTTAATATCTTTGTAGTTTCATATACTTCTTAATGAAATAAATTAATTTTAGTAGCAAGTGCTGTTTATCTGCAAACATCAAGAGAAAGTGTTATATGATTAATCAGAGCTAATACTCAATTAGGATCTATCTATCAGTAACTATCCATATTCTTCCCATGTGCAGTTCCTACTTCTCTCAGAGGATTTCAGACCTCTTACACAAGAATTATGATAATAGAGAAAGAAATAGCTACATGAAACATGGAGTGTCCCAGTCTTGGATCTTGCAATATTTGATTTTTTTCCTTATACCCACTTCTATGTCTGAAAAATGAAGCTCCTATTAAAGACTTCTCTGCACTGGAGACACCAGGTTGATACACTTTTATTTTTACCATCTAACTTACAAACTGGTTCCTTAGATGAGTACAGACGTGAGGAAAAATCCACTCTACCTTGACCAGGCTGTTGACAAAAGAAAAAACATTTCACAGTGCCCAAAATGCCTAGATTAATGTATTTTGACTGTGAAAGAATGTTGCTGTGGATGTGTAATGATACCTTGGAACAGACTGCATAGGAGGTATTGATGGGAGTTGTTCACTCAGACCAGACAGCGAGTTAGGTTGTCTGCCTTCTTTTAAGCTGCTATCTGCCTTCCTGTCTTACAAAGCAGATGATCTCATAAAGGAATGGAGAGACCTTTTTAATAATTAAGAGAGATCTCTGAGCCTTGTCCACCATGGCAAGACTCCTGAATTTTATATGTCCACCTATAAAAAGATTCTTATACCTTTTTGACTTCTTTTCACATTATTACCACCATCAGAAGACTATATTACCTACATATG